AATTTATGATAGGCCCTCACTAAAGGGTTATCATAATATTGTGCAGCATACTGCATAAGAGGACACATAATTTTTAAAAAATCAAAAGGATGTTGCATCACTGCCAAATACATATCTTGATTTTCTTTCTACAAGCTCATGTACCGGTAATACCAATGTACAGCCAGTATAGGTCAATACTTGAGGGCCATTTAGGCTTCTTTATAAACAATGTACCTTTGTAAACAGCACTGCAAGCACCCAAAACATTGTCTTAAAATACAATTAAATGAGACTCAAAATAATTTTTCCACTATAGAATGTACTTTTATAACCCAATAAGGCAATATTTTTCAACATAAATTAACCAACAGATATTGCCTAAAGGATAAAAGTGTTTCAAATTGATGTAAAACAATATGATTCAAATATTACTGGGGCACTTGGTCATACTGTACAAAAAATAAAGTCAGATTATTTAAGCCATTCATTAAGTATGTGACTGCTGACATGCAAAAATGATTTTAATATACATGTATGTAAAATGCTTATATAAGTAGAGAATACAAATGTAAGTAACATACCTGTAGTAACCTGTAATAAGTCTTGGTTAATTACCGGTATGTTTTCAGTGGTTCTACTGACTCTCTGCTTGCCTCTTCTAGCTCTGGAACTAAAGGATGTAGATTGACATTATCATACATGAAGCACTAAATTTGAAACAGGAATCTAAATTTAAATTTTGCTTATTGGACTTTCCACAATTTAAGAAAAAAATATTAAGTGTACGAAAAATTTCAGATACCTATACAATTTTCATTTTTAGTCAGAAAAATTCTTTCAAGTTTTTTTTTTTCTTAATGCATCTTGATAAGTTGCAACAAAGAGAAATAACATAAAAAACATAAACAAAATATGAAAAAAAAAAAAAAAAAAAAAAGCATTATATCTGCATGTAATATATATTCTTTTGAGTTAATTTGGAATCAATTTATATAAAGTGAAACTACCTGGTATAAAAAAAAGATATTTTAAAGAAATTAATGTACATTGTATTTACTTGAATGATGAAAGTCTTCAATTAATAATCTACATATAAGCTTCCTATTTAAGGATATGTGCAAATAAATTGATACTTCACCTCTTTTCTGGTATCATCTGATTTCTTTACTAGATACCAAATGGCAATATATGTAGACAAGAGGCCCATGGGCCACATCGCTCACCTGAGCACTGTAGCTAGGAAAAAGTAGAAATTGGTTTATTATTGAAAAGTTGAAATCCAAAAGTAAACATTTGAACTGTTATGGTTTTGCTATTCTTGAGAAGATGATTTTTAAAGAATTTTCCTATATATTTCTATGTAAAACTTTGATCGGCCATTGTGGCCCCGCCCTACTCCCGGGGGTCATGATTTGAACAAACTTGAATCACAACTACCTGAGGATGCTTCCATATAAATATGATCAATCATGGCTTTGTTATTCTTGAGAAGAAGATTTATAAGAATTTCCTATATATTTCTATGTAAAACTTTGGTCGGCCATTGTGGCCCCGCCCTACCCCCGGGGGTCATGATTTGAACAAACTTGAATCTACACTACCTGAGGATGCTTCCATATAAATATGATCAATCACGGCTTTGTTATTCTTGAGAAGAAGATTTTTAAAGAATTTTCCTATATATTTCTATGTAAAACTTTGGTCGGCCATTGTGGCCCCACCCTACCCCTAGGGGTCATGATTTGAAAAAACTTGAATCTACACTACCTGAGGATGCTTCCATATAAATATGATCAATCATGGCTTTGTTATTCTTGAGAAGAAGATTTTAAAGAATTTTCCTATATATTTCTATGTAAAACTTTGGTCGGCCATCGTGGCCCCGCCCTACTCCCGGGGGTCATGATTTGAACAAACTTGAATTGACACTACCTGATGACATACATGTTAACCTATTGTGATGAAAAATAGGGAGATTCTGACCACGAAAGCGGTAGCATTGCGCGTGTTGATTTACACTTGGATTTATGAAGATATATAGCATGTAATATACATGTATGGTTTTACATGAAAATACAATTATTACCCCGGTAATCTTAAATATCTATTGCAAAGAAATAGATGCTTATAGCCAAGAAGCAATATAATTCAGTTGTCAAACACAACAAATGATGACAAAGTTTAATCAGATCTATAGTCCCTATATTTGTTATTTGGATTTCCTTGAGAAGAAGATGTGCCTCATTTGGTCAAGAATTTTCTATTGACTATATATTTCTATAGTAAAGGTTTTCATCCAATTCTAAAATGCTGTATCTCCTTTTTCATGGCAGTAATGTCGACGAAATTTATCGTAACCAATGTAATCACTGATTTTGTGCTGTTGTCGTTGTCAAATACGTGCTTCAAATCTATGTACACATCGGTACAAAAAAAAGCGTTTGTATGATTCCGGGTCAAATCACACGATATCTAACGAGATTTCATGATTAGTGGCTTCAAAAATGGATACCCAAGCGACTAGAAAAGTGGTAGATTTACACATAAAATCGGTAGGCAGGAGATGGAGTAAAAAAGCGGTAGACTCCCGCCTAAATCGGTAGAGTTAACATGTATGCTGATGATGCTTCAATATAAATATGATCAATCATGGCTTTGTTATTCTTGAGAAGAAGATTTTTAAAGAATTTTCCTATATATTTCTATGTAAAACTTTGGTCGGCCATTGTGGCCCCGCCCTACCCCCAGGGGTCATGATTTGAACAAACTTGAATCACAACTATCTGAGGATGCTTCCATATAAATATGATCAATCATGGCTTTGTTATTCTTGAGAAGATGATTTTTAAAGAATTTTCCTATATATTTCTATGTAAAATTTTGGTCGGCCATTGTAGCCCTGCCCTACCCCAGGGGGTCATGATTTGAAAAAACTTGAATCTACACTACCTGAGGATGCTTCCCCATAAGTTTTATCTTTCCTGGCACAGTGGTTCTTGAGAAGAAGATTTTTAAAACATACCACCAAATTTTCATTAATTCCCAATTATCTCCCCTTGAATGAGGGCGTGGCCCTTCATTTGAACAAACTTGAATCCCCTTCACCTAAGGATGCTTTGTGGCAAGTTTGGTTGAAATTGGCCCAGCGGTTCTTGAGAAGAAGTCAAAAATGTGAAAAGTTTACAGACAGACGGACAGACAGACAGACAGACGGACGCCGGACAAAATGTGATCAGAAAAGCTCACTTGAGCCTTCGGCTCAGGTGAGCTAAAAAGGGAAACACTAACACAATAAGGAAGAAAGTTTTTATTTTATTCTTCAGTTGCTTTAGAGATGTTTCACTTAAAATAAAACTCGGTGAGTCTACATGAATGTTCCTGAGGAATTTCCTTTTATGTTGCAGCTTTATCTATAGTAAAAGTTAATAACTGTCAATGTTGTATAATTTTTTTTAAAATATCACCTGTTTTATATTCAGAGTTTGAGGAAATTAAAATATCAAAATAGAACAAGGAACTTGGGAGCAAATACCTATAAGCATCTACATTTATAACACATTCTCTTTCATAAAGGAAATATCTGCTGCAATACAGAACTGAATGTTAAAAGCTGATAAAACAAAAAGAATGCATTCAATGTTTTGTAATTGGATACAGTATATATTTCACAAGTGGGACAAAATAATTTTTATACTTTTTCAAGTGTGAGTAAAACTATTTTTAAAAAGTCAGCAGTTTTAGGAAATAAAGGAAATCCATATCAAGTAGATTTTCTTCTAAACACTCCACATAAAGGAAATTCAATCAGGAGAGGTTATTTTCCACTTTTGCAGCAATGGATTCACATGTTTTATTCACTTTTAAATATTTACTTTAATTTCTATTTTATTTTAAATAAAGCCCTTTAAATCTCTTTTTTTTCCAAATATCAGTGATGTTAATGTTGAAAGAAAGGTTTATTATTTATAAATATCTATAATTAACACTATTACAGGCTCATTGCAATGCTAGCAACTCCCTGCTACTAGTTTTGAAAAAGGTTAAAGTTCAAGGTCGTAAATTTATACATTAATATTATTATTTCAGCTGAATGTAAAATTCTAAAGCTTTTTATTAGTATTTATAGTATTACATGTCGCTATTTTTACATCAGTTAAGATATTAAATATGGTGAAGATATCATGATTGTATTAATGTAACTCAACTAATACTTTTTTTAAATTTTAATATCTAGTTGCATCAAGTGTGAGAGGTCCTCTGACTCGAACCCCCGTACTTTTATTTTTTTTTGTTTTTTTTTTTATACTTTTTTTTTTTACTTAATGATAGTATTCAGCATGTGAAATGAAAAATTTGTGAGGTTATAAAATCATCATTACAGTGTGATAAAAATTCCATATAAAAAGAATCTTCTATACACATAATGAAGAATAAGCAATCAAATCTTTATATGCATATTGACATACATGTATACATGTATACAATTAATAATTCTACAAATTCAGTCAGGGGGAGCCGACTTTTTCCCTAAGCGGGGGACACGAATTCTCTGAATTAGCTTGTTAAGATATGTTCTGGTGATACATCAGTTAAGATATTAAACATGGTGAGGATATCATGATTGTATTTGTGCCTTAAAAATCTAAAATCTTAATTTATTTATAATACAGTATATTAAAGAAGGTGCATAAACTTTCAAATTAAGGTTGCAAACAAGAGAAGTAAGTTAGCAAAAAGAAAAAAAAAACACAAGAAAACACAGAGGAAATTCGAGCTGATGAAGTTCTATCCATAAAACAACCAATTTATGTACAATTATCATTTAAAACCTTTTTTTCTTTGAGTTTTTTAACGTTGATTGCATACTAACCAATTCAAATGTAGTAACAAAAGCAACCTTTGTAACGTTAATCTGTTACAGTTACTCAGTCTCAGTCTCTTTGATCTTTCTCCATTATCAACCTTTCTATCGTACAAGTTATCTAAAAGAGTAAAACCGGAAATAAGGTAGGTTTATCAGAAGTATCCGGATCTCGGATATCACACTGTGACCGCAAGCCAGGAACAACGTTAGTGGGAAATATACCTGAGGGACAATTTTGGAAGATTTTGAAGAAGCCGGTATCCATTTTTTGAGTTTCTCTGCTGTTTCTTATTTTTTCGATCGCTAGAATCAGTCTCATACTGAAACTCAATCTCGAGATCGATCAGCTGATTTCTGTGTCCGTAGTCATAGGGCGTTGGTGGTTGCTGTAGTTATAAGATTTAAATTTGATTTTGCATTTCCATAATTTTGATAGCTTAAAATTTCACTTCAATAAGACTACTGGTATACTGGGGCTAATGATAGCTGTGTAGTGATCTGTTATTGCAGAAAAATAGCCTAATATTTATTGAAATTTAATTTCAGCTGCAGCATATAAAGTATCCATGCTTTTTGCATTTGATTGATGATTTAATGCTTTAAAATCTCTATGTTAAATGTTTTCCTTGTTGCAGAAAATTTCCACCATGAAACACAAACGACAAAGTTCACTCTTGAGACCAACAACTACTAAACAGGATGTCCCGGTAATTTTCCATGAGCCCCATGTCGAGACTGGATTCCGCCATCCTCATCAGCCATGGATCTATTACGTTTGCAGCATGTTTCAAAAGCATAATGAATGTATGAATGTTTGGACCCACCTCATTGGTTTACTGTTGACAATTTCCAGGTGCATGGAGTTTGCTAATGAGTATGACTTAATTGGAAATCCTCATATGTGGCCCCTCAGTGCTGGACTAATAACTATGATAATTATGTATCTCTGTAGTACATGTGCACATTGCTTTTCCAACAAATCTGAGCAAGTACACTATACAGGATTTATGATAGATTATGCTGGCATTGGTATATTTGGCTTTGGAAGCACTATCATGCATTATGCTTATTGCATCCATGACACTATGCTAAATTCAGCTTTAAAGATGTTATCAATTCCAGTTGGGGTAATTTTAGCTGCATTAGTGTGTTTATGTTGCAGCATCTCTAAAGTATTCTACAAACGTCCATACCCATTTACAAGAAAAATCTGGCAAATAGGTTCAGTGGGAAGCATCTATTTGTGGCTCTCCCTGCCAATTTTACATCGTTTATTTTTAGATAAAGATGGGGAGGACGTTAGTCTCTATCACCACTCAGCTCAGATGGTCTGGTTTGCTCTGGCGGGCTTCTTCTTTGGATCTGATATTCCTCAACGATTTTTCCCTGGAAAGTTTGACTTTGTTGGACATAGCCATCAGATTTTCCACATCTGTATAATTCTTGTCACCCAGAAACAGCTTGACGGAGTCCATTTAGATATAGAGAAATATCACAGAACCCCAGCTTTTGTGGATGAACCAACATTTATGGAAACATTTGGGGCAGTTATCATTTTGTCAGTTGCATGCATTGTTAATGTTTTGGTATTTCATAATATTGTGAAATCAAGATTGGCAAAAGAAAGTTTAAAGCAAAAGCAAACTTAACATATACATGTATATTAAGTTTATTCTTGCTAATTTTTGTTCATGTATCATTTTCTGTTAGTGTAACTGAACAAGGATCTTTCATTTTATGAAAAAAAATGAGGAAATAACAAAACATGACATGTTAAAAATTATTATAATTTTATTATTATCCTTGCTGTTAATGGTCAAATTATGTGATAGGAAATATATACCAGGTAATCCTAATTATGATACGTAACATGTATATAGGAAATGAGGTAAAGGAACTATTGTCCATTGAGTTTATTGTACCTAAATGAAGGATCTGCAACTTGCATCCTGTGTTAGGAGATATTTTGTCATTAGAATATAATCACCATTTCTACTCATTTCTTCCTGAACTGTTGATAGCTACTAGGATACATGTACTTGGGTATCAATTCTATTTTTAGAATTAATAGCTCTTATATTTCCTTGGCTATTACTTACGAAAACTACATTTCAATGGCTTAGAGATAATATATTTTAAAAGTTTTTTCTCAGCATTTTGAATTGATAATGATGTTAGAATATAACCAGTATTTGAAATAACTCTGTTCCCGACCGTTCGAGATGCACAAATTTCATCACAAGCGGACATATTTACATGTATTGACACCCAGCTGGACGTGTAAAATTTTCTTAAATTAAAATTCAGATAGTTTATAAAAACTCTCTCAAATCAACTAGTAGTACTGGTGGCAAAGTGTAACAAACAAACGGGTAGTATATTTATTAGTGTTGGCAACGAGTACCCGGTTAACCGGTTAACCGTCGAACGATGCGAGTATCGGTTAGTAAAACTGCTATTCGGTTACTCGGATAAAATGCATCTTATATGGTAAATAACTAAAAAATAAAATGTTAATTTGTTTATAAGCGTACAAATAAACATTTCTCTAATTTTCTTTACCGTTAGACTTAATGATCTATGGTTTCACTAATACGATTGATTGGTTTTCACACTTAACTTATAGCTTAATTGGATTGCCAGCAGGTTATACAAGTTTTGAAGACCCAAGTTATAATTCCCTCATTAAATGATTTAAAAAGATGCCGCCAAAGACATGTATAACTTGGAAGTATTTTAAAAGAACAGCTGATTCTATACCTGTAAAATGTAATTAATGTGAATTGGAGTTATCGTGACTTCAAATTTCTTAATAATTATTCTCCTTGATCGTGACATATATCGGGGGTTGAAAAGTTAAACTATGAACGCCATTGTAAAATAGCGTGAAACATTGCATATTTATTTTTCTTCTGATTTAATTAATTTTTTGATTATAATTATATTCAAAATTCAAGATATTGCGTGCATGTTCTTTATAAGTTTATAAATAAAGTTAATTCACAATACCTTTGTGTTTTATTAGAACCGATGAGTAAAAGATGAGATAAATGATACATATGAATAAATGATCCGAGTAACCGGGTACTCGATCGGAAGATTGAGCGAGTAACCGGTTACTAAAAATCGTCCGATTTGCCAACACTAATATTTATCAGCCTATAGGTTCATGGTTGAATACGGTGATCTGGCCCCATTCACATTTTTGCTGAATTTTTTAAGCAGCAATTATTTTTTGGGGTCTAGTACATTTTTTACAGGGCTGACAACTTTCACTGGCTGTCAGCCCTGCATGTCTAGCTTATTTTACAGTGAGTTTCAAACACTGATATAACTGGTGGACATTTTTTCTTAATGGAAAATATATATTAGGTCACTTCTTCTAAGAGTAAATGTTTTTTTTTCCACTGTAAATTTTTACTTAACATATCAGTTTGCATTTGATTTTAAATAAAAAGAACAAAAAGCTATTTTCTCAACTACAAGAGTTTCCAAGAGTTTAAAATATTTGAACAGAAAGTTAAAGAAGCATTTGCATTTTCTCATCCAACATCTTTAACATATTATTGTGCATATTGATTTTCAATTTAATTTATGGAGTTGTTTTTAATGTGTTTGCAAGATAATGTGATTTCAATCATCAGTTGACCATGTTGATACATATTACATATACAAGTGAAGTTTTTGTGTACTGTACCTCGCTAATTTTTAGGTATATGCTTTACAATTTTTTTTATATAGACAGACACAAAATTTTGAGCCTTGATTATAAATGTTCATTACAGAGTTCATTATTTTTATGAATTGTTTAGTCACAATTTCCCAGAGGAGTAGTGGGTCACATCTCTGACATTTGTTTTCTATTTGGAAGTGACATAGTCCTTGGTTCATATCATTTAATTGAATATTGTTTCTTATCTGTGATTTTGTTATGTATGCATGGAGATGATTAATTTATGTTAAATATATATTGAAGATTTTTATATTTCTTTTTTTTCTACTATTGATGTGTTCTGTTTAGAATATTTTATATCGTGTAGATCAGTATTCATTTTTCCTTTATTTTACAATCCATTCCATTACTCAGTGTCTAATAATGTTAAAATGTTTATAGGTTTACAGTGTTTTCCCTAAGAACTGGCTACCGACCAAATTAATTGACAGCTTCAATTGACAAAAATGCCCCTTTGAAATAAAAATTTGTTGTTAGGTCCACAGAGATTTTGTTCATAAACCTCAGCCCTGCCTGTTACAACTTATCTCTAACCCTTTACTTTGAAAATACAGGGAAAACACTGCTAGGTTTATGATAATTATATGTTTCCATATATATATAAGTTATATATAAGTTAATTTATAATCGACAGCACACTGCTTGCCCAATATAGTTGAGTCTCTCCTAGAATGTCAATGATTTAATTAATTATGTTAATTATTAGTCTTAAAGTCTTCACTTGAGAAATATGCTGAAATTTTATCTCAAGAAAATCATATGGAATAGAAAATTATACACTTCTATATGTATTAATTGGTGATACAATGTATAAATCATCGAGTGTAACAAGCATAATTATTTTTATACTTTTTTTATCATAATGTTTTAGAACTGTTTTTCTTTCTTTATTCTTTTTGTTTGACATTTAGATGATCAAACTTATTAATCCAGAATGCTGTACTTGTTTTCCAATAAATCTTAAACAGACTACAAAGAGTTGCTTTATTTCATGTTTGTAAGAGTTGTCCCTCTTTAATTGTGGTTGAGAAACTAAATATCTGGTGGTGCACTGGCAGCACTCGGACTATAGATATTGATACATGTATAATGTAAATTGAATTAAAATATTACCAGCATGTGATTAGCCTTGCAATCTTAAAATGAAGGAAGATATTTCAGGTCACCTGCATGAGTAACTCAAATGACATTTTGCTATATATATCTGCATGATTATGTCATTATGCATATATCAAACTTTTCAACTTAAAAAAAATCTCAGAAGTAGTTGGAACTAATTCCAGCCAATTTTGATATATACCATCTATGGGATAAGGGAGAGAAAAAACTGATGAATTCCATAGTATTAATCTCTGAGGATTGTGGCCTAGAGCTACACACAGAAATTGATGCACTAGCTTCATTTTAAAAATCGGGCCTGCAGCCACACTCATGGACACCAATTAAGCTAGCTGTCAGACTATTAATTGGCATGATTCTAAAAAGCAAAAAGCTTTTTAACAAACTGAAAATCACCACCCTAGATTCAGGATTCAGGTCCCAGGAAGGGACACGTCTTATTATTTGGTCATTATACATTTATTGCATGATAGTGAAGGGACACGGAAATAAACATAAACTTTGATTATTTGGTCATATTGTATATATTATGATATATTGCGGGAAAATACACTAGGGCCTATAGTTGTTCGGAAGAGGTGGAATATGATAAAAAGCGTGCCGACGGCCGTGAAATATGAAGTTTTTCGGCCCGATCACGTGATAACTTAGAACCAATCAGATAACGCGTTGTTTAGAATATTTATAATGAGGTATAATAAATGTATATATTATATAAATGCTAGCTTACACATAGGCGCTTGGTTACATGATGGTGTATTTTGTGTATTATGTGTTTTTCTATGTGTGCCTGAATACCCTCATTAAAATAAAAATGAAAATTTGCCGAAATTAGACGTTTTAAAAAATGTCATATTTACTGTATATACTCCTTTACTCTTTTTATATACAGTAAATATGACATTTTTAAAACGAGCTAATTTCAGAGAATTTTTATTTTTATTTTGATGAGGGTATTCAGGCACACATAAAAAAACACATAGTACACAAAATACACCATCCTGTAACCAAGCGACTATGAGCTTACAGGCATCAGAATAATTTGCAGACTGCCTGATTGTAATGCTCAGCACTGGATCTTTAAAGAGTAGGGATGGAAATGATCATAATAGCAAATTTTATTTATTTTACATTTTAAAAAGTCAAACCATATGATATCAACAACTTATTAAAAGTATGATGGACCGACTTGTCTTAGGAGCGACTTGTCTAAAAAAAAGTTCTTTCCGGTAAATAGTCTACCCCAAAAGATTTTTGTGGAAAAACAACTTTGGCAGGCAATCAAGATTCAGGTAAAGTTTTTCCATTGACTGGCATGTTTAATTTTGCGTGATTTTGTTATTATGAGCTTGACATATGATTATGCACCAAGTAAACGATGAATGATTCAATAATATTCGTTAAGAGATACCCAGTTGTCAGAATACAGTGTCAGGCACAGTTTGAAAGGTTTGAATCATTGACATCTCTTGAAATTATTAAATAAAAAAGACAGGTTTTGTGTCTCCGGAAACTTTAGGTATTACCAGAATAAATAAACGGAACATTCTTCCATAAGAGCTATTGGATCTGACATTCTTACAAGTCCAAACTGAAAGATACCCCCCCCTTTCCAAAACAAAAGTTATTTTTGGACAATTATTTTCTCTCTGTATTTTCTTTGCTGTTCTGCAGTTGGTTTAATTAAATTAATATAAATGGCATTCATTTTAAAGGTGAGGGATTTAAATTGTACTCACTTTATTGACTAAATTGGTAAAATGCTATAAAACATCTCATTTTGTTTGAACATTGCATTAAACTGTTAAAGTATTAAACACAGAAACTCGAGGGAAAAGTTTACTCAACTTCAGGGATAGTTTTATTTAATCTTTGAGATAGCATGGCAATATTAGATTGTTGAGGACTATGAGGTTGGGGTCAGGAAATAATGATAATTTAATTACCACAGTGTTTGAAATAACTGACTTCACTCATTTATTTTTTACCACCCGACATGCACAATTTTCATTGACGGCAAACAGATTTGCATGAATCAAATATACGTGGCTAGATGTTTAAAAAAAACATAAATTGAAATTTAGACATTTCATTAATTCATTAAGTTTCTCTCAAATCAATTACTAGTATCAGCTGCAAAGCGTAAAGCAAACACGTATAGAATTTGTCAGCCTATATGTTCGGAATCAAAGATATATATACCCCCTGGTAGTGATCAGGCCCCATTCACATTTTATAGGCATTACAGGTAAAGCAAATTATAAAAGACAAATATTTTCTCAGCGTACTGGATTTTTGTCAGGGCTAACAACTTTTACTGGAGTCTGTCCTGCATGTCCTGCATGTCCTGTATTTCTAGCTTCTACTGGAGTCTGTCCTGCATGTCCTGTATTTCTAGCTTCTATTACTATGAATTTCTAACACTTAGCTATAATTTAAAAGCAGTATTTTGAAATTTTTATGCCCCCATAATCAAAGATTCAGGGGTATATAGTTTTAACATTTTGTCTTATTGATCAGTCTGTCTGTTT